AATTTTATTTCCTGCATTTCTTCTGGCAAAAGGCCAGTTCTCAGATGACCTGCATAATTTTATTAATCCTGTCAATGAGATTGTCTTTCCTTCAATGAAGCCCATTTTCCTTCCTTTTAAGACAGCAGATTTCCCATAGAATTTGGGATCATTGCATAAGAAAATTGACCGTAAATAGTAAGTTTGCTGTTACAGAGATGAACAAACATCTGAAAACCTTTGATTCTGTGACTGTTATGGATGGAGACCACCCATCTGAAGAGGTTTTTTTTCCCTTTGTCTCAGCTGGGTGAAAAATGGTTGTACCAGTGGCAACTTTGCACACAGGTAGAGAGCAGAAAACACTCACCAGCTCAGGATCTTTAGAAGATGCATGGCCTCTTCTGTATGCTGCAGCTGTGGATATTGGCTGTCTCTTCCAAGCAGGGATCACAATCCATTTCCAATCTCATGCCTGTGCCTGGTTGGGGCCAGCAACACAGTCAGAGTTCATTTGGACCTACTGCACAGCCTACAAATTCACGGGTTATTTTGTTACTTACCAAATCCAGGTGTTGGGACCAGCTCAGCAGGGCTCTCTTCTGCAGAACAATTCCAAAGGCCTTTGATTTACCTGCCCTCCCTGCCCTAAACCATGGCCAGCAGGGTAGGTGGCAGGGAGCAGAGCCTGATTCAGCAGCAGCTACTGCTCATTTTCCTGTCACTCCACAGGTCACTGGCTGGCAGAAATCTCTGTGCAAATGCATCTAAAAATATTTTGAAAACTTGGCCTCCACTGATGAGAAAATTAAGTGGTGACTCAGGCTCCCATCAGCTCCAGACTTGATTACTGCAATTTGATGGACTGAGAAGCTGATATTCCACCGAGACTGCAATTTGCTTAGGGGAGCAGCCGAGGCCTCGTTGGCACCAGTCGTTTCCAACACATCTCTCTTGTCCTGTTAATCACTAACAAATTTAATTTCACTTCTCACTGAAGATCTCCCTCTCCACCTTACTGGCAAGAGAACAATTCCGAGGCTGCTCTCCTGACCTCTGTTAGAGCTCTAGATGCCAGCATGAAGCAGACCTGCCTGGAGCAATGCCTTGCACCTGAATTTCTTAGCTTTGCTTCCTCTAGTCCTGCACAGCTAAAGCCATCGGGACAGTCCTTGGCCATGCAGCTCCAAAAGATTACTTACCATCCTGCAGGGTGCTCTCTGTTGAGTGAGAATTTTACAGCAACTGTACACGTGAACTTTGAAGAATTTAAGTGCAAAATGCCTCCTCAAAGCAGCCACAGTTTAATGATCACAAGTAATAATGTAGTCAAAGCAAGAAAATGGCAAAGAGGAGACAATGTCCCTGTTCTGACATTGTTCTCACAGGATGCTGGAAGTTTTGGCCTGAGAGATTGGGGCTACCCACAGAAATAGGGACAAAAGAGATTTGGCTTTTTAGATGCTGGAAAGGGCAGGACATCAAATCTGAAGTAAAATACTCTTCATTTACTCTCGTCATGTGCTACATTATCCCCGAGCTTTGTTAGAACAATGGCAGAGCTCTTCAAACAGCTTCCCTGGGGAGACAGCTCTGCAGCTTAACAACCTTTCACCGGAGATGTGCAAGTGTAACCGAGGGCAGAATTTAGTCTCTTGTCTATTTAACGTGTTTGTGAGGGACTCTGCGTGTTTCTGGCACTTTATAATAACAGTAATAGAAACGCATTTGGATTATAACAAAATGGAGAAACGATGATTTAGCCCTTTACCGTGCTGCAATTCCCAAATGCCTCAACATCTATTTAAGTGCAAAACAGTCTCCAGTTTACAACTCCAGCGCTGCGATCGCCTGCTGGAAAGGTTCTGTTTGAGATGGTGATTCAATACAAAACACAATTCAGTGTCTGAAATTTCATTTTTAATGGCAGAATAACATCAAAAAAAGGTAGCTCTTTCTCCACAAGCAGTCTTGCAAAAAAAAAAAAAGTATACCAGGGACTTGGTCCTTTCTAGCAATTTCTACATATAGAACTGCTCATCTCTTATGCACGTATGCACTTGCACATAAATCAATGTGCTTGCAGACAGACCATATTTCATCTTGCCTCCTAACCTCCTGCTGTCAAGATATTTCCACAGAAAACCATAC